CTCGTTTAGAGCTGGTCAGGTATTTTCTGTTTTTAGATTTGTTTTTATGGCATCTGCCAAATAGTCCGACAATTTTTGTTATTTTCTGTGACTAGCTGTGACTATTGTTTTATTGCTATGAAGCAGCACTGTGTTCGGTTATCAAACCGCAAGCCTCCCTGGTTCATGTTTGTTGATTTGTAATTCAGTTTTAACCATCTTTAAAAGTCCATTTGTTTACCCCTTGCCTCCATGAAAGCTTGTTTCTAGTTTCAGCAGAGTTGCCCATGCCCTCGTCTTCTTTTGTTCTGCAGTCAGGCAGGTATTGCGCTCATGTTTGTTCTTTTGTAGCAGTCATCCTGGCTCGGCAGTTAGCTTTGTTTGTCTCTGTCGGCCATGTAGTGTTAGCCCACCGCTGGAGGCTGAGGTCTGTCCTCCACTGGGTTGTTCCCCCCTTGAGGTCAGGGCGTGAGTCAGAGGCCTGATTCCGTCACCCCAGGTTACCAACTCACTACTTCCTGTCCAGAATATACAATGAGAGGGAATGGTGGCTGAGGGCAATACGTTTCAGGCCCCATGAGTGTGTGTGGATGTCTATGTGTTGTGTTATTGGAAAAGCAGAGTAATTGTAATCTAGGCTGAAATTGCATTTTTTTGCCTTTCGGTTTGACCGAGCCCAGAGGAGTGACATGTCCTGTCTTCATATCCAGACTTGTCGTTTCCAGTACGATTGTACTGGCCACTGGCATTTGTATTAAAATAAAAACAAAACTTACATCCAACCATATTATCACTTCATCATTTGTAGGAAATCCTTGGTAATAGCTAAAGTTTTGGGAGGTCACAGTGACCTTTGACCGTGTTTGCCTAATGTGAACAAATTATCTCCAGTAGTTCCCGAGATTTTGAAACCACAAGGATCTTGTCATTTGACTTGATTAATACCTCCATTCACGTCTGTGGCTGAATTAGACGCATACGTTCAGGCCTTTGATAGCAAAGTAAAGAAATAAAGACAAATATTTGATGAATTTAATTCACATATTCCCTCTCCTATTCGCTCTGGTTTGGTCTGCACCATCTCTTTAGGGCGTAGAGTAGTAGGTTGCAGACATAGTCGAACACTATTCAGCTATCTAGTTGCAGCTACCTCTCATATCACTTTACTTTCCAGCCTCCTTCTCCTCACATTGCAGTGTCTCCATGTGGGTTTTTCATCCCACACCTCGCTATCCAAAACCCTGCTGCTCTCATTTGAGTCTCAGATCTACCGTCTCTCCCAGGATCGCCTGTCACCAACCTGTCACCGAGCTCCCTTCCGACGCTACTCCAGCCCACAGTCAACCTAAATCTATACCATTTCAACCTCTGGTTTTGACTAAATAAAAAACGACAACGGCTCCTTGTCTTCGCAGTATTCTGGTCTTGAGTCCAGCCAAACACCAACAAGTTACCCTGAACATTAAGCAAGAAACTAAGGCAAAAACATGCAATGGAACTGGAACTCACTATGAGCATCACTATGAGGTAATTTCATCTACTAGTTATTGCAGTTTTAAACTCAACATAAAATGCCCATGTACACCTAATTATTTAAGTTAGATTTAAGGTAGTACATGCTTAACAAAGACACAATATTACAAACCTTTTCCAGACAGCGTTTCAAGAAATATGTGAAGACAGTAAGTAAGAAACTTTCGCCACGGTAGTTTGGAGAGGTTCATCTTAGGAAACTAAGGTATTAAGTACCTGACTCTTGTTTATTCCTGGAAGCAGATAAGTTTAGATGACGATTTCTTTTCTTTTGCCTGGGTGGATTTCTGGAATGCCAAATGAGTTATCAGACTATAAAAAATAAAAAAACTGTGGACATGACATGAGTGAGTTTTTGTTTAAAACCACATTTTAGTTTAGTTAATGTCATGTCTAATCACAAACATAAGAACATATGGTTTCATTCAAGGTTCAAGGTTTTGTTCTGAAGAATTCACATTAAGAAGGGTGATTCACTAAATTTTAATAAATACAGTAACATGCTTTCAAATGCCTCTTTTGCAAGCAATACTTATTTTGTAAATTGTATGTTCAAAGTTACATTATGCTTTTATTGCTGTTTTTAGGGAAGTAAACCAATTTGCTGTTGTAAGTTGTTGGCTTTTTCACATTGGAGTGTGTTGGTCGAAATCATGTCACAAACAAAATGTCAATCATGCCTGATTTGAGGTGAAAATAATATAATGAACAGTGGCTGGGTGGAGGTGGGCCAATGTAAAAATAGCAGGCGTTCCGTAAAATACCCTGAGAGCACGTCTAGGTCCACGGGCCAGTGAGGCCATGTCTCAATAGGTTGTTGCAGACCTGCCCGGCCGGCCGGCAGGTAAGGAGAGACATAGTAGGAGAAATGGGCATCGGAGCGCAGACTATAATAGCTGTCTGCTCTGGCCTGATGAGGTGGCTGGAGAATAGAGCCCAAGGATGCCTGAGTGTGTGAGTGTGTGTGTGTGTGTATGTGTGTGTATGTGTGTCTATATGACAGTAAAAGAAGGAAAGAGCCGTACGTGCGTCTACTTTGTACACACGTGTGTCTGCATGGGCGTGCCATGTAGCGCATGAGTGAATTGCAGGGTGCGTGTGTGTCTGATGAGGTGGCCGTGGTGAAAGGTGATAGGGCCAGGCTGTGTAAATGACGGCTGATGGGGTCTCTTGAAAGTCTATTTAGCCAGAGTAATGAAGTGCGTCTGCCAGGGGAAAAATATGAGGGACAGGCGCGCAGGCTCAGACGGACAGCTGGGTCACCTCACTCAACCTTGTATGGAGAGAATAGGAGTGATAGACGAGATGACTCGGTTGTAATGACTCTTACTCTCTCCGTCTGCCAAGGAGGCACCTTGGAGGACAAACAGATCAGGTCAACTCCCAACCGTTGATAGGATGTCGGTCTCCACCTCCAGGTCGTCTGGCTTGCCATGCAAAGTCAACACGCGCGCCTATTGCTTTACTTCTTTACTGGCACCCTTTACTAGAAGCTCTGTATCAAACCTCAAAATCTTTAATATTTCAAGTGTCACGATTCATCCTGGATCGTTCAATCTTGTCCTACGGCCCATGGCTGCATCTCACTCCAAATAAGAGTGGAATAGTGGAAGAAGTAGGAGAACATTTTATGAACACAGATTGTCAAGCAATTTCTAAAATGTTCCGCATCAGAACTTAAGTTGATATTGAATCATTTAGGCAATATATTTTTGCATTAAAGATCAAGATGGAGAAAGCTAATAAGAGTTTAACTTCTTGCCACTGTTAATTTGACAGTGTCATCGGGTGCCGGAACATGGCCGCTTCTGCACGAAAACAGACACATTCAGTACAACTCTGTGCGTTTGGGCATTTTTAAATTTGACAAACTGCCCCTCTGTCTATCCAAGCATACGTTCACTTCATTAATAATATTGTAGAAATTATACAATTCTTAATGATAACAATGATAACATTTTAAAAATGAGTTAGTAATTCAGTGATATTAGTTAGAGTTATAACTAAGACATGGGAAATATTTTGATAAAAAGTGAATAATCCAAGGATTCCAGATCATTACCATGTTGTTAATAATACATTACCTCCTTGTTACCAAAGTTTTATCAAGTTGACCTCTTTGTTTTTCCTTACTTTTTTTCATCCCATCTCCGACTCCTATTGATTGAATAAATTGTTAATGAGCGAGATTTGAATAAAAAAAAAACATGCCTGTTCATTCAGGAAAGCAACCGCCAGATAAGTCACATGCGCTAGTTACATGCATCTCCACTTGTAAAAGAAGGTCATCTTGCAAACACAACTTCTCTGTTTCTAGGCTGTCAAGTGAGGGACTGTCTCCCTCATGACCCCGGAGATTAGAGCCGTCTGCATCCAGAGTCCAGCATTCTTCTTCTTCTTCTTGTGTCTATGAACTCATGCCAGGCCATGTAAAGATCATACTGGAGTGGAGGGGTGGGGATTGAGGTTGTAAGGGGGGGGGTGAAAGTGATTGAATGAAAGAAGCGGACAGAAGGCAAGAGTGACAGGCGTCAGAAGTTTCATGGTGAGCTATTGAGGTCAGGGAATGAGGAAATTAGAGCAAACCTATGTTGATTACATCTTGGAAATCCAAAAGATCCTTTTGGGATAACTGAATTTTGTTACATGAAAAGTTGGTTCTAAAAACAACCCTTAAATCATTGGATCTGCGCTGTGAAAATCTTGGGCACCGAGCAGGCTCTAGCTTTTATCGGAGACATGATTAGGAGGTTTTGGCTGGGGATTTTTCCACTGCACGTCTCCTCTGACTCTTACAGAGGCGCCCCTCTAATCCAAGTTTACAACATTCCTCTTTGCAGTGCTAGCGGCGTGGCTCTAGAGATGACAATGTCGGGTCTTCCGTCAATTAGTCGTTTCATCGCTTTGATCCCCCTGTCCTTGTCCTATATTGTCCTATATTCCGGCAGGCGGTTGGCATTTCATGGCCCTACGTGAAATGCCTCAACCGCTAGTGGATGGACGGCAATGTGGCTAAAACGATGAACCAGTAAACAGTTGTTGTGATGCTTACTATAAGAGCAGCTTTCTGATCATTACATTTATACTCAGGTGAATGCAAAAAAAAAACACTTTAGAAAACTTCAATGACACTGTTTATTAATCACCACTTGACCTGTGTGTGTTGTGTGTGTGTGTGTGTGTGTGTGTGTGTGTGTGTGTGTGTGTGTGTGTGTGTGTGTAGAGTATAAAGTGCAATACTTTGCGCCTCACTATTTGACTGTTTATGTCCATATTTATCTGTGTATGCCTCTTTTTTGTATGATTGTAAAACCTTTGATATCTAGCTCGATTGTGATAGTCCTCCTGTACATGGACACATATTCTGCTAGTAAAAATACACATCAGGCCAAAACAACTCAACAGGTGTCTTCGCTACACACAATAAGGCCCAGTGTCTGTTGACCATGAAAAGCAACAATAAAAAAAGACATCAACTTATTCCTTGGTTGGAGTGAAAGTGTTTTTTTGTTCAGGATGAAAAACTCCTTCTCGTTTCAATTGATACATGTCTTGATTTTGTAGCACTTGGTATTATTCGATTCAATGACATTATGAGGTGTAGAAACTAACCAATGGTTACAGAGTTTTTTGAAAAAAAGTATATTGTGTATATATATAGTTATATATATAGTTATATATAGATTTATGTTCATTATAAGCTTTTTAAAATAGCACAGTAAACACTTTGCACACATGATAAAAACCACCCAGTGTGTCTGATTGTTTATGTATAGGCCAATGTTATCACGGGAACTGTATCTTGTAAAGGGTCATTTCACTTTCTCCACAGTCAGCTCAGGAAGGAACTTGGGAACTTTCTGTCACTACTTTCAAAATGAAAAAAAAATCATTTGTGATACCGTATTGATCATCTAAACAGTAAGTTTGTTTTTTCTCCCCTTTTCCACACAGTGCAATCGTTAATATCTCCTTCCTGAAGTGGCTAAAAATTGAAAGCGGACTAAAACCCGGCTCTGGATAGTTTTTTTACTGTCCGAAACGGTAGTATTGAATACTTTAGAGTCTGCACACTTTAACCACACAGAAAGAACAACAGAAACATAAAAGAGAAGTTATATAAAGACAGTCAAGTCAAAAAACCGTAGATACAGGATTTATAATACTGCACATCATCTCTTCTCATTCCATTTCTTTCCTTTTTTTGTCATTTCATACCTGTACAACACCTGCTCTCTTCTCTGTGTGTCTAATCGACAGTCTTTCACTTCCTCGTTGGCTCTCAGTCACCATTTCGATCCCCAGACAGTCTCTGTACAGTTGGCTTAGTGGTGACCATAGAAATAGCTAAAGGGTTCCATGTGACATTGGTTGAAGTTTGTACAGAAACATTAGTATTTTTTTCTTCTTCATGTAAACAGGCACACACAGATCGCTAGAGGCTAACTCCTCAGTCCCCCCAAAGAACACAGCCAACCATGAGAGTTAATCGGTCCCTCTTTGTCTTGTTTTGTATTCCGCCGTTTGTTTCAGTTTCTTTCGCATGTCTGCTGATGACTTTATGATTTTCACATGTCGAGTGTGTCGGCCCCGTTCTCAGTCCTGCTGAGAGAAATAAGGCCTTGGATTGCTCCTCAGATATCTAGAGGCGTACAGCGACTCAGTACATAGTTCTCTTCACCTCCCCCGCCGACCGCTGCCAAGGCTTCGTTACGATTCGCCTCCCAAGATAATGATGCTTAACCAAGGTTGCTGTCGTCCAGGTTTGTGTTTTTGTGGTTTTAAGTATCTGTCTCCAGCATCGGTGTAGGCGGTCTAGGCCCAAAAAAATTCACGCCGTCTCCGAAAGGTCCACGTGGAACGAGCTAACAAATCCTTTTGCGGGCTGAAAAGACAAGAGAACACGCTCAATGAGACAAATGGCACCCTGTCCCTCGAGACTCTTTAGTGAGACAATCGGCTCGAAATACCATCTCTTGAAGGATAGATGCCACAAAGGACTAAAGTTATAGATAGAGATATTTAAAGATCTTAAAGGCTGGTCCTTGCGGTATAATGGTAAAACTAATCTGGGAATTGTGTAAAAAAAAAACGTGTCCATCAGTGAATATAAAGGTTAAAATGTTGGTGGCTACATAATGTATGCATAGAAAATAAATAGAGCAATAATTCCTTCATTAATTATCTATAAATGCATCATTAAATATTCATAACGCCTTTATCGAGGCAACCCTGCTGATCATTGCCGTAGCCAGTAGTAGCATACAGTGCTATTTTTATAAGTAGAACATGATGCCACTTGGTGAATAACATCTAGGACCATTCTCTTTTCACTGAGTGATGAACAACAAAACCTTTTCTATGGCAAAGATTTTTTCGTAGGAAAAATGGGTGAAATTGTATATCAAAAAAGTAATAAAATCTAATATGGTGGTGAGTTTTGGACAGAGGAATATGGAGTGCATTTATTCTAACCCTTTGAGGCAGATGGGATGAGCAGACGCGCAGGCTGCTATATTTGGAACGCGGTCTATGCACCTAAAGGCTAAATACAAATTATTTTTCAAACAGACCTGATGCGCGAAAGGAAAAATTGCTTGGCTCTGTTTGCTAAATTGGTTAAAAAAAAAGAAAAAAGAAGAGGTTATAGTCATCGTCATCGTTTACCTGAAGACGGCCCACAGTCAGCATGAAGTATTGTGGAGGATGGTGGTTAACAGGGTGGTGAATGGAAATGATTTCTCTCCTCAATGCTTATATCGAATCCATTCTCTCCTCTTAGAGCTAATAGAATATTCATGTAATGTGGGAGCTTGGAAGGCGTCCCGCAATCATTTCTTTAGAACATCATACAGCTCCTTTAGAAATGTTGGAAACAACATCTGATTCCAATGGATATCGGTGTAATTCATGTACCGAAATGGTGGTGATAGTTTCCCTCTTTTACAGAACACAAACTGTGACTTTAGCAACTGCAGAATCTTGACCCCAGCGTTGACAGCCCACCTCACCCACCCTTCTTTATGTCAAGTATTGATTCACAAGCAAGCAAGTATAGACACCCGGCACTTCCTTTTTAGAACAAAATGGACTTCAATCGTCGTGAAAAAAACAGAAGCGTGGGTTGTGCGTTTCACCTTTCGAAGCTGTTGAGCAAATGGAAAAAAAATATGTCCTATAGAACTTGAGATGATTTATCTTTCATATCTTCTCTTTCCAGTCGGATCATGTTTTAAACCACAAACGGCATTTAATTGTGTGTGTGAAGATGTCAGGAATAGGAACATGAAGTGTGTGTTGGTGACCTTTACTTATATGATCATCAGATAAAAAGGCTTATTGGAGAGGATTTTAAAGGGGAAATTTAAAAAAGGAAAAGGGGCAACAACAGTTTAACATGAGTCTGATTCAAATGTTGTTTATTTTACAATTAGTCACATGTTTACAGACAGTGTTTAGTATAAAAATGGGTATTATTGATTTATTTATAGGGGGTTTTGGAGTCGGGATTAGCAATAATAGATTTTACAATAATTACATTTTACATTCGGTGAGGGAAATTGAAATTTACAAAGGAAAAACAATATAACAAAACAAAAAGCCAATATAAGAAACAAAAGTTGATGAACAACACAAAAAGCCCAGATCAAATGAAAGGGCAGATGAATGGTCCCTCCTCTAGTATCTGTACTGGACCAGACTGAAGTCATAGGGTCCCAGTGAACTCTCATACTGATACTCACAGAGAAAGGTGGGTTTGTACGGTAGCGTCCCCCTATCATGCTCTTTCCTCTCTAGCGTGCTGGAGCGATACTGCTGCTGTTGCTGATGGAAGTGATGGTGAAGGCTGTTGTGTGACTGTGACCTTTGACCATCCTTGCCAAAGGTGGAGAATGATCTATCGCTGGACGGGGCGGCGGTTGAGGTCATGGTCGGTTGGTCGGAGAGGTTGACGGAGGAAGGTACCTCAGTGTCGGGCAGGGTGGCGTCCATGCCGGGGACGTGCAGGTTGCTGCGGTAGTCCGGTCCCTGGCGCCCGTCGGATGGCACAAAGGACGGCATCCAGCAGCGATCGGAGTGGCCCAAGGCCTTGCATTCCTCCGTGCAGTTGGAGAAAAGGTCGGCGCCTATACAGCGGACACATACGGATGGAGAGGTTGAGATGTTAATGAAGGATTACGTGAATTAAAAGGGATTTTAAGTAGGAGGAAAAAAACAAGGAGGAGGCGCAAGAGAAGAGGTACATAAATTTGAGAGTGGATAGGCAAGATAAAGGAGGAGATGATGAAAAGAGACCAGAAGAGGGAACACAAGTTAGTAATCATTTGCCAATGTCGAAAGCAGAGAATGTGCAGCAAAAGCTATTTGTCAAAGAGACAAGGCCAACATTGATGAAGCGAATTGTTTGTTTGCATCCTCACCTCATTCATTCCGAATGAAATGTGCAATCAAAGTGATGTGGTGTCGCAAAGAAATTTCACCCCCTCTCCACATTGCCATCCTCACACTCACAATTGATTCCCAAACACCAAGAGGCAAACGTGAATCCATATTCCATCATCCTCACACACAAATAAAACAATTACCTTAAAAACGCGCCAGAAAAAAATAACCACTTGCTCCTTAATTACTCTCTCTTGTCAATCATTCCTATACAGACTGTATGTAATTGACACAAAGCTAATGCCAAAAAAACTCCATCACCATAAAAAAGATTAAATTAACATCTGAAATGTTATAATCGAGGAACACACACAGTCCCGCAAACACATGATTAGCATGAAAAAGGTACCGGTTATGTTAATTACTTTCTCTTAGAGAGAATAAAGAGATGAGAGCAGAAAGAAGAGTACAGGAGAGATTATGAAGAGGAAGAAAAAGAAACAAGAGATGAATGCAGTCATCTTTATAATGAGTCTGCAGACACTCTCTACTCATGTGGAGATTGGATTTGTAGTTTTCACATTTTTTACAGTTAAGAGCCATGTTGGAAGGCGTTGTTCACAGGATCAAATGAAGGAGACAAGCAGTTTAGGCGGAAAAAAGGGAGAGAAACACAAAAAGCCCACGGTCTGTAATTCCCTGAGGCTGAGAAGGCTTCAGATCACAGATTCCACTTACACAAATGTATTCTACTGATCTATTCTACCTATGTACCCACTGTTCGTCTATTATTAAAAGCAGACGTAATGTAAGCATATTCATATCAATCAATACCAGGCCAAAGAGTCAGTTGTAGAGAAAGTCACAATTCAAATAAATCAATTTGTCCAATGAAGTAATATTATGACTTAAGTATGTTTTCTTTCTGTCTGCAACTGAGGCAATGATATATTGTCACGTTGTAATGTTACAAAGGATGGAGAACGAACTTTAATTCGGGTCCTGAGGAGCTGAAGCCTTTAATCATGGACAAACAAAAATCTACAGTGTGCATTAACTACCACTTTGCAGTATTGACTTTTGAGTGTGTAGTTCTATCCACTCATACACTAACTGCACAAAACGCGCCTAACTGTTGTACGTTTTCATTACCCTGCATTATACTGGATGCTGATTCCCGACCCTGTTTGACATAGTATAAATTTGCTCATGGGCACAAAAACAGGAATATTACGCAATTAAAGTTTTCAAACTGCTAATAAAGCCAGAAAATGAATTACTTCACGTCGAGGACCCCGGGCACCTGTAAATATCATGTATTATGAAGCGCAGCACTGCCAACACATTGTCTAAAAGCTACCACTGTGGTTCTGTTTTGTGTTTGTGTCCATTGTGTGGATCTAATTGTGTTGCTCATTAGGCCTCGCGATGGGCGAGACAGGCAACAAAGACTGTGCGGTGGACAGAGAGCAAGAGGACACACGAGGCCCGCTGATAAGGAACAGCGAGGGCCAAGCAGACGGGGGAGTCACAGATTTCATAGACAGAGACAGCCGGCAGGAGAAGAAGAAAGACTGCAGGAAGCGTGAGGGAGAAGAGGGGGGACCTGTGCAATTGGCAGATGGAAAGAGCAATGGCCAGAGAGACAGCGGGGGACCCGGGCCTCACAGACGGAGACTGTTTTGGGTTAGATAGAGCTCGGTAGAGGAGGTACTATAATTACAAAAAAACTCCAACAGTGTTCGACCCGTTCATATGGCAATTGTATAAAGTTATAGCACCATGAAGTCTACCTGTTCAGAGTAATTTGGGGCAGCAGACTATTCGGATTTAATAATGACAAAGAAACGATGTAGAAAAAAGCAGTGTCTAATTTTATCGTGGATTCAATGGAGCCACAACGCACTTTTCATGTCCAAATTTATATACTTAAGTAAAAGGGCAGACACGCAATGTTTCAGGGAAAATAAGGGCCAACAGATACTTGTATTTCATTCAGCGTAATGTTTTAGATTCAGCAAGTTTTAAAGATGTTGGCTCTATTTAGCGCTCTCTCTCTCTCTGTCTACCTGGCCAACAGATGCAGCAGCAGGTAGTGCTTTTGCTCATGGCTTCTACATTCTCTTGAGTAGAGACTCTGATCACATTGACAAAAAACTAACAAAATCAATAGAAGAAATACCTCCAGCTTTCTGTAAATGCTAATTGAGATTTTGAGTGGTATTAGCCCTGGAAACACATTTATATATGTGTCTGGATTTTACAGGTTGGGGGCGTCCAAATCGAAGTTAGCCTTTAGCCTTTTAATATACTTTTGGCAAATTAATTTCCTCCTCGGACACAGAAGGGTTGCAGACCTCAGCCCCTCCAATCATCTCTGTGCTGTTCTGCCCGTAAAGCGAGTAAAGTGCTTCTAAATGTACAAACAGATGAACGGACAGACTGAAGCGCACACGAAACTATGCGGAAAGCACATGTGCATGCTGACTAAATGTCAAAGGGTTAAGAGAAAGGCCCGTTTGTTCCATACTATCTCAGAATATTACTAAGCAGGGACAAGAGGCGTATTATACTTTGGAGATGCATAAATATAGTCTGCAGCATTCCCCCAAAAATCAGGCTCGGAGAACTTGTGTCACTGGCTTCAAAACTACTCAGTGATTTTCGCCTGCTGGCTCACTCTTAAAAAACAGCGACATCAACACATATGTTTGCAAACACACACAAAAATACACTCTTAACACCGGGAAATGTAAATGTACGCAAATAGACAGACAGACCGACACGACACCCAGTGGCTGTTGATTCCTGCAAAGCACCTTTTTCTTCCTCGGGCAGAAAGCAAAAACAACAACCAAAACAGTGACTGGCAATGACAGGCCCTGGCAGCAGCCCTATTTCTCATCGTGACCTCATCAGACAGGGAGAACACACACATGCACACACGGGGTGATGTAAACGGAGCTACACAATGCTAACACAATCTACTTGCTAATAAGCAATCAGCACTTCTGTTCTTTTTTTCATTACATCTCCGATGTGTTTCCGAAATCCCACTTTGGTGTGATTTGACTAATTGCGCCGCCTGACATACATCCTGCAGCTGGGAGTGGGGGAAATTAAGGAAAACAAATTTGAATTCACTTGGGTGGGTATATATACATAGACGGAAGCAGAACGACAACAGATATATATATATATATATATATATATATATATATATATATATATATATCTGTTGTCGTTCTGCTTCCGTCTCTATTAGTCCCTCCGTGTCTATTTCCCTGTCTCTTCCACCACATTTAACCGTATCTGCCCATTTCTCTGTCTCTCTCTCTCTAAAAAAAATAATAAAACACTTCCGAACCCTTGGGTAGAGGGTGCTTCAATCCGTACCTCTGTTTTTCATCTTGTCCTCCACTGTTCAGGAGAGGATACAGACACAAAATGTCAATATTTGGACAGCAGCTTAGGACGGCAGAGGAGTAGCACAGCTTCCTCAGGTTGGCCAAGGAGGCAGTGATGAGTAAACCAGAGATCTCACAGTGGAAAAAAGGGACAAAACTGGTTCCCAACACATCTAGTAATAGCAGACGGAGAATTTGTCTCTGAAAGGCAGCTTCCATTTTCCACGTTTGTTGAACCTTGACTGAACTGGAATTGAAAGCCAAGATGGCTGTTTGCCCTAATAGTATCTCTTTGATTAATAAGGGCCCGAGTTCAACACTTTTCATTACTTAGCCATGACCGAACGTCGTCTTAGACATTCACTGGAATTGTCGGTCTTTACCTTTAAAGGATAATAGTGATTCACGACAACTGTGGTATCATTCAGTGCAAGAAATGAGAATCGCACAGGTTAACCGAGGGATTCTAATTAAAATGTTTGCACTAGTTTGACTACTTCTCTTGCCCAGTCAATGTTAAAAGTGAAAGAAATGTTTTAATTAAGTGTAAATATGTGTTACCTACTCAAATCTGAGGCAAAAGGGTTTTATTATTGGTTGTGTATTCCTTTAGAAGGCAGTGTAATTGAAGCTACAGATCACCGTTCGGATCACCCAAAACCCGAGTTTAATTTGGGCATCATCAACAGGATTTGTGTTCTCCGTTGCAGCGCGGATGGAGCAGATGTTCACTGACTTCTAAGTCTTTGGGCAGAAGGAATATGTGTATAACTCATGGCCAAAGAGCAGATTTATGACTCCCGTGACTGAGATTTGTGCTTACAGCCTAAACTAACCTCAATATCCAAGGTCTCAGACCAAAATGGTTCATCATTTTTTTACTTTTGAAAGAAAGAAAAGAAGGCTTGCACACTTTTTTTCAGCAATATCAGTGGTGAGAACACTCTGTGCTACTCAAGAGCACCCTCATCAAAAAACTCAAAGATCTTTCAGCTTACCAGAAATCACCACAATACAAACTCTGATCGTGGTTTCCACACAAATTTGAACAATTCTGGAATCCACTCCTCCACCCACCGTTATGGTGTTATGAAAAGGCCAGATAGGAAAGACATGTTGCAGGAAGTAGACAAGTCAATTAGTTTATTAGTATTTTCTCTGCAATGACTTATATTTATATATTAGACCCTACTTAGAAGAAGCAGTGACATCCACACCTGTTAATGACCAAATTCAAATATATTTCCTTATTTATGAAGGACTGTTTTTATCCTATTTATTGTAATGGAATTTCACTTTCATATATTGCATGGAAATACTTCCCTATATCTTTCTACCGGTGAGGTCAAAGTCAAAGGGTGAATTCAGACAACCCAGACGGTATTTTGTGGAATGACTAAATCTGAAAACATTTGATTCAACAAGCCATTCAAAAACAACAACTGGTCTTATTATCTTTGACAAAGAGAGTTTTTGCAAAGGTGCACTATATGTGTTCTCGCGAGGCAATGAGAGCTGATTGTGTGTTTCCGACTGAGGTTCAACGCGTTTATATTCAGACAGAAAAATGATGATGTGTAAAAAGGGCACAGTATATTTTGCTTAATGGATGCTTTTTAATCAAATCAATCCGATGAATTCATGAAGACAATTGCTAAACCTAACATTGATATAATACGACTCTTTACAATAGAACTGAACATTTTCTCCTGTTTTTCTGCGAGGTGACCTTTTTGAGCTTTTCTTTTCCAATAAATCACTATTTTAGGAACATGGTTGTCTTTTGTAAACATTTGCCCTTTTTCAACATATTGCAGTTCACAGTGAGCACGGACTCTTTGTTTTATTTTTTATCATGTGTGCTTTTGAAATGAACCTGAACATCTTCTCTTTTTGGTTTCATGGATCACGGCCTCCAGTTTTGTCAGTATCTAAGGCCTGAGAGGAGGCTGTTTCAAAACCCTGCATGCTGAATTCATCTGACAGCTCCCTGACAGGGCAAACTGTAACACGGTGCCCGCCACTAATTCATAATCAGCCATCTAATACACCGTTGCCACAATGATTTAATTGTCCCATTTGTTATGGCTGTTGTTCTCGCCCAAAATAAACGTCATGATAATGATCATTTCCAGTCATCCACCCGTCACGCAGCCTTCCACAGCTGATTGAAGGTTTCTGAGATGCATTTTTCTTTTTTTTCCCGATGAATATGTCATTCTCTCTTATCCGTCACCTTTTTTTGTTATTTTGTTTTTCTTGCTCACACTCGCCCCTAACTTCTATTAGCGTGATGAAGGAAATAATGACAGAAAACAGTGTCTAATTTCAATCACGCAACCTTAACAAAGGGAGTGTGTGTGTGGGGGCGAGGGGGGTTGTCAATCAATAGTGCTTTGACTCCTGACACAGCATCGCCTTACTCCAGCTGCGGTGCTTTCAGAAAAGCCATTTGCCCACTTGTTTATAGGTATCCGGCGATATCCCAGCCTCACCGGCAGTGTCCCTTTGATTTAAAACCACGTCAGGAGACTTATTTGCTAAAGTGTCAGACAAGCGGCCGAGCGGGAAACTACGCCAGGTGTAGTTGATGATATGCCAACTGGAAATGGTTTTCCCTTGATTTGAAATATTCTGGGGTGCACCAAAAGGGAGGGTGTCGCTGTGTTGTCCCGTAAGGAAACCTTGCCTTTAACCCTGCTTTGATAATTGCTATGCAAAGGTTCTAGAAATGAATTACTGATCAGTCGAGTGTTGCGGAGCGCCAGCGTGTTTGGGAGACAGAATGAAGGATGAGACCCTGCCACCAAACCCTGGAAGAGAATGTGTGCGTGCCTAACACACACAGAGTGGGAGTGTGGAAACTGTCCTGAGCATGCAAAGCGTTTGTGTGCGCTTATGTGCACGCGTGGATTTTCTTAAGTACACATTGCTACAAAAATGCATAACAAATGCACGTGGTCTGTACGTAGTAGTCTTGGCTAAGGCTTTTTCCTTTGTGCTCCCTACTGGCTTTTGATAAATTGAACAACATGCACTCAGCATTAAAATCCTATAGGCGCAATATAACATATGCACCAAAGAGACAGCCAATAATAGTATCATCCACATATACTGGAAGTGTCACATACACAGAGAGAAATAAGCAATGGGTATGCCTGTATGGCAGCAATATACACGTGGCATAGTGCCATTAGCTACCACTCTCTCCTCTCAGTATGGATCTCATTTAAGCCTTCCAGAGGAGCACCTTAGAGGAAAATTTAGATATCAACTTCTCGCCTCGTTTTTTAATAGACAAAACAACCAGGCGGATAACATGTAAGTATCATGTTTCAGCCTTCAGACAATGGTATATTTTCACACTCACACATACACAAAAACACGCTCCATCTGGTTTTGTTATTTACCCAAGTGTCCCTTTTTCCAAATACCCAGTAGTGTGATATTACCACCCATGGAGTGGTAAGCTGTTCCATTCTAAATTCAACATGAGGAATAAATGTTGGTTTCCTCGTTGAGAGTACAGAGCACAGAACCACCATGGCACACTCCCTGCCAAATGAGCATGCATGGGCATCGGAGCCAGATAAAGCGGAGGAAACATGTTACATCGTTCATAAATGTGGTCCTTTAATCGACTTTGCAAGCAAACCAGCAGGAGCAAATTCAAGGTACTGCATTTAAATAATACAATCACACGCCACATCATCATGTCAGGGGTGACTACTTATCGAGAGAGGTTACCTGCTATATCAAAAGCTTAAGATCCACACTACATACCTTTCAAACCTAAACAGGTTCCTTGTTATGTCTCAACTTCCAATCTCTCAAGTAGCATTGAAAAAAGCATTTCCTAAAACCTTGCATTCCTGAAAAACAAAGGGGGAGCCTATTGGATATCACCCGAGTATGCGTTTCAGTCTTGCATTGATACCCTTTCCAAGCCTGTTTCTTCTGTGGGGCCGGCAGTGGCACTGCACCTGCTGCATATTGGCTCTATATTTTGGCTTGGTTCATAAATAATACCAAACACAGGGGAGCCTGATGAGGACCATTAACTATCCTACAACACCCATCGAATCTTCTCTATTTGTATTCCCAGCACTGATATGATATTTGACAAGCTGCGGTCTAGACAGGGGTCTTACATGAGCCGTGTAGAACAATCCCTCAGAAGGAAAGGGCAATTCAATATGAAATGAGATTTTGTGTTGCTCCACATTTTGTACGACTCCACTTTGATCAATAAACAGGTACTAGCCTAATGGAATTTTAGAGGGAACACAGCGAGGCGTATGATAAAAGCTAAAGCCATGTCTAAAAAAAATATACTGCGCCGTAAAATGTAGAAGAGAGATAAGAGCCGGTAAATTAACCTGACGTGAAAATGTTTTTCCCAATTCCAATGTTTCCTGTTCGCCTTAAATCTGGCCAAAGATTTAAAAAAGAGATATGTCCAACAAAAGCAAAGGACGCAGAAGCATCTAACAACAGCTCAACTATATACCGCAAAGGCAGTGCCACAGACAAACTGCAGAGCTGATTGAAATGCATCTCATTATATCAATTTAGCTCCAATGCCTTTCCCTCGCACTTGAGTGAAACTATTGATTGGAGCCACTAAAGCACTATAGGCCTCATACTGCCTCTGCGGAGAGCCGCTGTCCTTTCAGCACCGCTTGGTCGTAGAAAGAGAAAGGGAGAGCAATGAGAGGAAGGTGAATAAATGAGGGTTCCCCAAATATTCTTCCCTTTCAACCGGGTGTGAAATACAATTAGCACCTCAGGGGCCAGTGCATGCCAGCCAGCCAGCGACACCGGGGCCCAGGCCTTTGCAGATTCTCAAATTAAGGAAATTAAAAGTCACCGATCCGCACCAACAATTCAGCATTATCCCATTCACAATCACGAACGCAGACACACACACACACACTATGGAATAAAAGAATAGGGGAGGGTATGCCAGTATTCCAGTGTAATTATGTGATGTGTGTGCGTGAGTTGCAGGTGGGGGGGGCGGGGGGAGGGCTTACCGGCCAGATGACCCCGGTTGGTGGCATCGTGGTCACTGTCGCCTTGTTCGCTGTCACCGTGACCACTGTCTTTGGAGCTGACGATGTCCGCCTCTTGGAACGCCGAACTGTACGAGGCAAGGGAGGTGAGAGTGCAGACAGTCGAGTCAGAAAAAAGACATGAAGAGGTTTAAGAATGGAGGGGTCAGAGAGAGGGGTTGGGTACAATATTGAGGAGGGAGGACGGAGAGGAGACGGGGGATTATATGAGGGGCAGAGGAAAGTAGAGAGAGGGGCAGAATAAGACATCAACACCGCTTTAATACGGTCATGGTGGCCGGCAAGTCTAAATGTAATGAAATCCAGCATTAGAGCTGTAATAGCCGATGCCATGTCAGTAATGGGACTGATGCCGAATTAAAAATGAATGCTGGATACATTAGAGAACTATGCAGCCTCTCAGAGCAGCATTTATTGGTGGAGAAAATGCAAGACTTGCACGGATGCAAAATTCAATGTAACCGTGTGATCCATGAGGGCGATTGCATGTAGTGTCTTCTGAGGCTGGGCTTTGCACATTGATAATAACGTACTGCGTGTATGTGTGTGTGTGCGTGTGTGTGTGTTTGGGCACTTTTGACTACCTGTTGACACGTCTGGGTCTGTCCACAAGGTAGCTGAGTTCTGCTCGCTGGTGTTTTGTCTAGAAGCAGAAGCACACATTTGATTACTTTCAAAGCCAAGTAGACACATTCATACATACAAAGGGAGGAGATTCACACTATATGAGAGGAACATAACAGACCACATATTCATAAACTGGTTGCCAAAATTAAACTGTAATTGAGAAGGCTAAGGGTTTAAAGGGGGCGGCGGGGGGGCTAGAGGAGACGTGAGTAGTGTGTTAGGGAGGCGACTGAATGCGTAAATGATTGAGCTGCGCGATGCTGAAACTGAACAACCTTTGTTCGCGGTGCTGCTGTGGTACGTCGTGCACAGAATACTTAACGCACAGGAAAGACAGGGCTGTGACTGGCTGTCTGGCTCCCCTCCAGCCCGAGCGCAATCAACAAAGAGCCCTGAACTCACCAGCTCTCTGCGTGGAAAGCACAGGCTGAACACTAAACAGGAGCGTTAAGTTACTTGCCTCCGCCCTTCTCCTGCTAATGGTTTCCACCGAAAAACTTTATCACCTATAAAAAGGATACATCAGGTAATGCTGGTGTGCTGAAGAAGGCAACCGATGGAACAAAAAAGAGAATATTTGACCCATTTTCTGAACCACTAAAGCATTTACTTACTCCCTTTTCACTATATTTATATTGTTTTACAATAAGATCCACACCATTCCTTCAGGGTAACTGAACTATTTAAAAGCTGCATATTTTTTATTTTTTAACAATAACTGTATGTAATAAAGAAAAACTAAACAATTAAAGTGTCTTCCAACTTCTTGGCTTGCCTGGAAATTGCCTTTATGCCCAAAATCAATATTCCTCACACTGCCTATTTGTACACAATCTAAAGGTTGTTCTGATAGCAGTCTGTAGTAAATAAAACTAAAAGGCCACATGAGATTACAAAATTGACATGTCCAATCACCATTACGCTCGACAATGATTAAAGGCCACTGAGCAGAGCAGTCGAGTCAATAGTAGATACCACTTCCATCCTCTCGGGGACTTCAGTCGCCTGCGACCTGAGTGAATATATCATCCTTCCACGTGAAGCGGACACAGCTGTAAATTTCTAGAGAATCTTTCACAATATGTAAATCCTTTTAAGTCACAATCGTGCACGCTTTGAACACGTCTGTGGCCGAATTGTCGATAGCAGCCGATCCGGGCTCATCTTACCTCGTTAGAGAGAATACTGCCATTGGATATGATGTCGGGCTGTTGGTCACTGTACCCCGTGACTATGGCGCCGCAGGGGTTGGTGTGATCCGTGTCAGTGCTGCGGGAGGGGCTGCACGGTTTGAGGAACATCAGATCTGTTTTGGCGGACTCCGGCGTCAGGCAAACCTGGTAGCAGTAGGAGTTCTGGTTCTGGTGGTGGTGGGAGCCAAAGCCCCCTCCCACTAGACCGACACCAGACTCCTCCACGGGCACCTGCCCCACGGGCCCGACACCTGACGTCAGGTTGGTACTCTGAACTAACATGATGTCAGATTTACTCAGCTTCTTCTGTTTCCGGCCTCGGGCCTGCCTGCTGCAGCACGAGCTGCAGCACAGGCAACAGTCACCGGCCATCAGGCACGTGTACAGGTTGAGCTTCTTGTCCTTTTGGCAGCGCACCGCCAACACGATCATAGCCAGGAGGAAGACGAAAGACACGGAACCCAAGGCGATGATGAGAATTAGGGTGAGGTCCAGGGAGGTCTCCTTTGCCTTTGAGGCCGTGCCGCGATCCCCACTGCGGCCTTCGACCACGCTGTCTACCAGCATTACACTCACGCTCGCGGAGGAGGACAGAGGGGGCTGGCCGTGGTCCCTCACTTCGATTAGCAGGTCGTAGAAGCCCTGTGGGTCCCGCTTGGGTGAGATCCTACGGGCTGTCCTCAGCTCTCCTGTCCTCCAGTCCATGCGGAACATCCCCATCTCGTTACCCCGCAGGATGCTGTAGGACAGCCGTGCGTTCTCGCCGTCGTCCGCGTCCATGGCCACAATGCGCGTCACCAAGTAGCCGGGCTCAGCAGAGCGCGGCAGGTGTTCTTTGGCTGTGCCGTTTTTACCGATGGGTGCTATGACAGTGGGGGCGTTATCGTTTTGGTCGACTATGATCACATTTACAGTGGTATTGGAGAGGAGCTCAATGGCACCGGAGTCCTTTGCCTGGACCATGAAGCTAAACTCCTTCAGCAGCTCGTAATCAAAAGAGCGCAGCGCGTAAAGGTAGCCGGTGTCCTGGTTAATGGATACATATGTGTCCACAGACATGCCCTGTATGTCACACTCCAATATGGAGTAAGTAATAAGAGCGTTTTGCCCTACGTCGGGGTCGAGGGCACTCACGGCGTGAATGAAAGCACCCGGCACGTTATTCTCAGTCACATACACATCATAAACAACCTGCGTAAAACGGGGCGCGTTGTCGTTCTCGTCGGAGACGTGCACTTTAATGGACTTGCTGGTGGCGAGCGAGGGCTGACCCTTATCTTTTGCCACCACGGTGATTGTGTAGGAGTCGGTGTTCTCCCTGTCCAGCGGTCCGTCTGTCACGATGGTGTAGTAGTTTTTAAAAGACGATTTCAGCTTGAAGGGGACATCTCCCAGAATCTCGCAGCTCATGTGTCCATTCTCACCAGAGTCCCGGTCCGAAACGCTAAAGAGTGCAATCACGGTGCCCGGGGCGTCCTGCTCGCTCACAGACTCCGTCACGGTGCTGAAACCGATCTCGGGCGTGTTGTCGTTCACGTCCACGAGTTTGACCAGCACTTTGCAGTGAGCGGGGACCGCGTTGGCCCCCAAATCCTTAGCCTGGATATAAATCTGATGCGTGTTGCTCTCCTCAAAGTCCACTTCACCGGCCACCTCTATCCGGCCGGATCTGGCGTCAATGTTGAACAAGTCCTTTATCCGCGGGGCGTTATGACTGCTGAAAGAATAAACGATTTCCCCGTTTTGTCCCTCGTCGACATCCGTGGCGTTGAGTTGAATGATCAGAGTGCTCAACGGAGAGTTTTCCCGCAGGTTGACAGAGTACACGGACTGGTCAAAGGTGGGCGCGTTGTCGTTAGAGTCTAGAACCTTAACGACCAGGAGAGCCGTCCCAGTCCGCTGCGGGATGCCGCCATCCACAGCCGTCAGCACGTAGCGGTGCACCGCCTGCTGTTCCCTGTCCAGCGGCTTCTCTAGCACCAGCTCCGCGAACTTGTTCCCGTCACTCTGCGTCTGCACGTCAAGGTAAAAATAGTTGTTATTCGTTATGGCATAGGTGCTGAGCGCGTTGGTGCCCACGTCGGGGTCAAAGGCATTCTCCACCGGGAAACGGGTCCCGGGAATGGCGCTCTCCGATATCTCCACGGAAATGTCCGTCTCGGGAAAGCTGGGTGGGTTGTCGTTGATATCCATCACCTCGATCTCCACGCGAAAGAGCTCCAGTGGGTTCTCCAAAAACACCTCCAGGTGCAGTAGGCACGGGGTGGTCTGCTTGCAGATTTCTTCTCGGTCGATTTTCTCCTTCACCAAAAGCGCACCGTTCTCTAAGTTCACCTCCAGATACGGTGTCCGTGAACTCGGCACCGTCTGGAAGCGGCGAGCAGAAAGTTTGGTAATGTCCAGCCCCAAATCTTCCGCAATATTCCCAACCACAGAGCCAGGTTCCTGCTCCTCCGGCAGGGAGTAGTGTAGCTGAGACACCGCTCCATCCAGGATGAAGAGCAGGAATATTAACCAAAACATCTCCGATCCCTCTCACAAAGTGCACTTCAAGACGATTTAAAAAAAAGATGTTATTCCTTTTTCTTACGAGAAATTAGCATTTCCCATTTTCTCTGTCCGTAAAAGAGAAATAAAATAAACAGCAGTAAAGCTCTGCGTTTGTGAAATTCCTCTCCTCTGCCTCGGGTCAGTTGAACATTGTGTCGTTTCAGCTGTAAGAAGCACAGCCATTTGATCCGAGCTTCTCTGTTTTAATCAATTCTGCACCGGTCTGTGAGTTTTGGCGTCAGCGCAAAACATTGCAGGCTGGAGCCAGGAAGCAAAGCCAACACTCCCCGTGCGCAAAACAGACAGCGCGTTCTTTACACAAAGTACGGAACAACATATGACATTCCACGCGAACAGGGAAAGAAAAACTATAAAACAGCAAAAAGTCCTATTTACGCACCGACGGGATCTATAACAATAATAACTTCTCAACGAACACTGGCGAATAACAGGACTTTCTCTCTCTTTCTCTCGCTCTCTCTCTCTCGCGCGCGCGCTCTGAGAGGATGTAATCACTGCGCCTAAGCGCTCAAAGCGGATGATGTTCGCAGCTCGGCTTCTGCACGGCGAGTGTGAGCAGCGGAGTTGGTTTTGCGCACAGCTCCTTTCCCCGCCAGCCAATGGTATTCTCAAACACCGGGTGTAATGGCACCTGATTGGGGCTCTGCGACGCCAGCCAGAGAACACCACCGGGCCCTCATGATAAAACCAGTGAGGTGCCGCTGCGCTCCTCTCGCTTCTCTCTCCCCTTTTCGCCCCCCTCTCCCCCCAACCTCCACCCCGTGCCCAGCCTCAGTTGTGGCAGGAACATTACATGTTTTACACATCTAGTGGATTGGTGACCATTGAGGATCCGTGCGCATAATGTTGCAGCAGCCAAGGGAGGGCTGGTTTATCTGAAATATTGTATTGAAAAAATAGTCATAACAATATTTCTGCATTTCTCGTTATCTATTAGTGTGACAAATTGTTCGTTATATGCAATGAAAAGACTCGTGAGGTTTCTCTTAACGCAACCGTTGAAGCAGTTTGGTGTTTGCTCTGGTACTAATGCATGAGTCAGAAAGGAGCCAGGATGCCCAAGGACCACCATGTAAAGAGCCTGCGCAAGTATAGCTAGTGACGCAATACCCCCCGTGCCATGGACACCCCCACTCCCCCTCTCTCTCTTTCTCTGATGAACGCACAACAGTAAAAAAAAAAGAAATCCTTTCAAATAAAGTAGCCTATGTCTCCAGTGTGTTTGGTAGTGAGCATCAGTATGATCCAAGGTTCCGTCAAAGTGGGATCACACATGAGTTACTTTAATTCAGTGTAATGAAGCATCGTGCTTGAGTCCTACCGTGTTTCTAATAGCCTGGAGTCTATTCGTTTGCCTATCTTAACATTCCTATCATTAACCCTCTCCCATGCTGGCCGCAACTGTGGAGCAGTTGCATCACGCGCTAATTTAATTCATAAAGCATGAATTAAATATGCAAATGGCACAGTTGTGAGGGAGACACAAATTGTGGGGGTCTAACTTCTTTGCATTCGCAGGATGATGACAAAAAGATGAAAAACAGCGTAATTGCAGCTATTTAGCATACGTCTGCAATTCCTTAATGCAATTGACGCGGCGCAACATTATCGAGCGTAATGCAAAGCGACGTGCCCATTGTGCAGTGAGAGACTCGCGAGAGATTTGCGATTCTGCATCTCGCCATACAAGTCAGAAGAAAACAAAACGTAGACGTTGGATGGATTTCCAGCCCATATCTGAGCCGTAGATGTGTGACTGAATCAAGTCGACACTGAAGTCGGATCTCCGAGTAGAGCGCACAGCAGCTCCTATCCGTCTCCATGTCTCCGTCAGGGTGTTACAGAGACCAACGTCGCCCCCTCGCGTCTGCCCACTTTTACTTTTTTATACCTTGAGATGAAGAGAGAGCTTGAATTTCTTTCCACTCAATAATTGTGGAACTTATTTAATTGGTAGAACTAGCTCAAAAGCACAAACCATCTAAACATAAGGCAAATGAAAATAATTAAAAAACAATTAGGAACATGAATTGAAACATTAAAGCCATTACAAAATGAACACGCTAAAAATAGAATAAAATGGAGTAAATTGCAGAAATGTAGGTGTATTTAAGCAGTAAATATAAACAAAAATTGAAAGAAATTCAAACCAACATTGTGTAAAAATTTCTCACAAAAAATACACAATATTTGATTTAGTGCACACTTGTGCCTTGATGGCAGTTACAACGATGACAGTGTTTAATTTTTCTGTTTATGTACACAACCTTGAAACTGACCAGATAATTAGTGACAGCGGCTGGACTGTGCAACGATCAAACCTGCATGTTTGTAGCTAAACATCTATCTATAGTTGTAGTTGTCTATAGGGAAGTTTTGGCGCAGCACATGTGTGCACATGTACATGTACACAAAAGTGTATATAAAGGCCACACGTGTTCTCAAACTCTGGCTGATTAAACCTCTGCTCATGTTGATCTTAGGTGGAGTTATGCTTCAAAATGATGTCACAAAACTCTTTGGACAATCTGCATTTTATCACAGCAAACATTTTGAGTAAGAAAATCACAGGTGTTGCTTTAATACTACAACAACTCAATGAAATATAGTCACATTTCATGTTATACTTCCAACTTTACTGTGACATTTCAACATAATATATTTACATATACATAAATATACATAAACAACAGTTTGTACACAGTCCTGGAAGAACATCTAATCAATCGAAACATGTGAAGACATTTGTGTGGGTTTAGCGTGGATGTGTGGGTATTTAAGACTTTCGGCTGTTCCTTGTTATGTAAAAAACATGTGTATACAGATAGTGACTGAAACCGACACTAATCTTGGCAAAATAACCAACCACACTCCGATCACATTATCATGTTCATAACTATTTTTTCATTGGTTTATCATCACTTGAAACTAAGCTTTCTTTGCATTTTTGGTTGCATTAGCACCTCCTTATTTTCACTGGAAGCTGAGCCTCTTCACAGAGTCTGCCCCAATATAAAACTACACAGCACCCCACCGGATAAGTGTATTTACCAAAATGTTGAACTATTCCTTTGAAAGGCCTTTCATGCAGTACTGCTTCCCATGTTGTATATATTATAAAGAATTAATGTTGGCATAAGAAATATAGTATATATTCCTTCCATTGTACTTTAACTGTTTCCACATTTATAATTAAGAAGCCTCCAAATGACAAATAGAACTCACATTTTGACAAATTATGTCATAACCTGCCTTGATATGATGGGCTAACAGACTAAGGCATGGTCTGTAGGTAAAAGCTCAGTAGGCCATTAAAATTTCATAACGTGAACAAAAAGGCAATTAAGATATCATTAAAAGGGTTGGCACCCAAAGGATATACCTCAAACCTATTACAGCGCCCTTCGAGAGTCTTGTACATAGCCGCCACTTAAAACTGTACTTCAGAGACTGTGATGTATGTGAGTTGTGGTCAATTGAAAAACTAGTAAATTGGAGGTATAGGTCGTCTCAATATGAAAACGTGAGTCTTTGTTGTTTGGATTGTAACACACAATCAATGCACAGGATAATTAGTCCTTGTCTGGTTTAAATACACTCTTGGCGATCCGTACAAAGGAAAACAACTTTGTTAATTCTTGTGATGTTAGCTCATTTGCTCACTGAAGCCCCACGGTCGTAAATGCTGTGTGGAAACTGTAAAAGAGAACAGAATAGGTCGATAAATAAACCATGTAAATGTGTACACCAGAGTGAGTCTATCTTATTGTCGCAATAATCCAGGTTGAAGAGAAAACTCATCAATACACAGCATGTACAATTTGCTGGCGATAACTTCCCCACATCCAGTTGATCCAGCTATCTCAAACGACGGCTAAGTGAAATGTGCAAAAACTCTGGATTCTGTTGTGCAATAAAAAGCACAATATATTCAGCCTTTAACCTCAAATGTCTGTGATCTGCCTCATCCGTTCCATTTAGGCTCCTGTAATTGCTTTATCCTAGGTAGCACAGTGGCCTGTGAGCTAGACGAGACCATGTAAAAAATGAATGGCTTTGCCCTCAGCCCAAAGTGACTGTGCGTGTGATCAGTGTCTGTCCCAGACAGCTGCAGGGTGACTTCCTGCCCTGATGGCCATTACTCAGTCTGATGGATAGCTGAGGGAGTGGTGGGGATAAAACGGCTGGTTGGAAAGAAGGAGGGCAAAGTGAACAGTACACTGGGCAGGATGAGCTGAGGGAAGGCCGGTGTGGATTGGGAAACAGGGGCCTCGGGAGGTTGAGGTGTTAAAGTGAGATGAGGGAGGTGCACAGAACAGAGTGTGGAAGGATGGCGATCTGGGATGTGGGCTTGACAGCAATAAATGACACTGATAAGGAATGGAAGGCGGAGAAGAGAAGGAGATGAAGCTGGTGCTACTTTATTTAATTGGTTTATTTTAACAGAGAGAATCCATCAACATTTCTGTAAATACATCAGTAAATGCCAGAAAGATTATTTTCAACTCGTGCACCTTGACATGATGCCAAAATAGCATTATGATAAAACAGTCAATAATGAAAGCTGCTCTCATCTAATGCAATTTCAAGCATAGACCTAATGCTCTAAAACCGATCCTAACACAAAAAATAACAAAAAAGCAACAGGTAGCCATGTGAAGCATGGTTTTTATGACAATTGACTCGTATCTCATAAAAAAATATATATATAAGCAGGGCTACACATTGAATACACAATTTAGCAGTAAAACCGCATTTACTCAACTTCTCCTGTCTTTTGTCAGTGATAAGTTCATAACAAGTAAAAGCTACCATTACACAATTGTCACATTGCAGCCAGACCACTTTTGCAAAGCCCATGAAAACCCTACTCTTTGAACTGAGCAAGCAATATATGAATGACTTAAATGGGGAAGCATCTCGATGACTATTTAAACTGTATCTCAATATCCACCTATCTTTTCGTGGTGCTAAACCTTTTGTAATAAATGGGCGGAAGATATAAAGCAGCAATGATTTATTCTTACCCCTTGAGGGAAGTGCATCAAGCTGTAAAGTAAACATTGACATATTATGACCTTATAAAACCAAAACAGTGAGCTACAAGTTGTAACTTGTAGCTCACTTGTAACGCTACCAAGAGCTGAGGAGAACTGTAAATGTGGGCAATGATTTTCTGTCACTGAAAGCAACTTATTTCACATTACATACACAATGTTAACAAAAAACTGATAGGTGCATATTTTGCTTTGGGATACATTGCTGGAACCATTTCATCATTAATTTGTGATGCATTCAATGTAAAATAGGATTTATTGTTAACAGAAAGTAACACTGACACGTATGCCTATATTGCATTGTTAACATTCTTTAATTATACTCTGCTTATAACACTGTATAAATAATCACTCAAATATCTATAATGTTCTTTAATAGTAATCATAACAAATTATTAAGCAATTACTGGTGACCTATAAGCTCAAGAATCATACTAATTTATAACCGCTGGTTACTGTGACATTACATACTGTAAGTATTGTAATTCCCATAAGTGACAT